CCCCGTCCCGTCCCGCCCCGTCTTGGCCGCCCGGTGCCCGGCTGGTAGAAGCGGCCCGTCCGCCGCTTTGCTCGGCTGGGATGCGTCTCTGAGCCGGGGGGGAGAAGCCCCCCTCCCGTTGAATGTAGGCGTTATATTCCTGCCAAGGAAGGAAAGGAAGGCCCGGAAGACAAGGAGGCCTGGGGGCCGGGGGGGCCCTGCCTGGATGCCCCCTCCCCGGCATGGGCAAGTGACTCCCTCCGCAGCGCCGGGCACCCCCCTCCTCCGCCTCCTGGCCCTCCACCTCGGGGTGCTGGATCTGGCTGCAAACCATGAACATGCGCCCCCCTGCCCTGGACAGGTACGTGTGGGGTTGGGGGGGTTGGGGGGCTTCAGCTGGGCTTCCTCTTGTCTGTCCCCTCCCTGGGCTGGGCATGGATGGGCAGAGGTGCCCCCCTCCGCCATGCCTTGGCTCTGCCTCTGCTTGGGAAGGACTCCCTCTCCCTTCCTTGGGAAGGACCCCCCCCTTTGGTACTCTGGTTCCCTCCCCCACCCCTTCAGGGCGCACATCCAGGGCCGAGGAACAGGGGTGCAGCTGGTGCCCAGCCCTTGCTGGGGGCGGAAATATTCCAGGGTAGGCCGCCGATGTGGGGGAGCCCCCTGCGGGCACAGGGGTAGGACCAGCGCAGACCCCGGCGTGCCCCGTGTGAGACCCCCGTGTGAGACCCGACGGGAGGATCAACTTTGACCCTGAGGCTCAGGGACCACCTTTGTGGCTCAGCATCTCACATGAACATAACGTAGTGGCACCGCGTGGTGAAGGAGAGGATGCTTAGCAGGAGGTGGGACGTGGCCCTTCGGGGGGGGGGGTCCCCTGTGTGGCCTGTAGCCGTTGCGTGTCTCCCTGGCTTTCCTTCCTCCAGCAGCAGCGCCACGATTTGTGCCCTCTTGGCAAAAGGCTGCCAACCTTACTCTACGTTTAACCCAGCGTGGTCCGTTGACTGCGGGTGAGCAGGCAGGAAGGTTTCAGTCAGGCCGAATGCAAAATGCTGTGTAATAATTTTAAAAAAAAACCACAAGAGTTGCTGTCAGCGAGTCCTGCCACATGCTGAGGCCATATGGACTGATAACTTTTATTTCAATATGGGTCCTCCACCCTTCTGGTCTGTGTCCAAAGGGAGTCCCATTTTTATTTTATTTTTTGGTGTGATAAAATACCATCCTCGCAATTGTGGCAGCAAGCAAAGCGGCAGGCAACCTTTGTTTTTTTTTTTGCAGCCTGTGTGGAATTTTGCTGTGATGTGAACGCCTGGGTCTGTGGAGAAAAAGTTTTAGAATTTTGATCTCGTGGTGGTCTCCCATCCGAGGGCTTTCTTGGCTTTCCGTTGAGCTTTTGCAAAATCAACCCCAGCTAGCAAGGGGGCTGCCTCTGGAATTGGCAATCCTCTCGTGTTTCGCTCACACAACGTTCAGTGGCTGGAAAAAACGTGGCCGCTTGCTGAGCTGAGCTGCTGCAGTCTTGGCTGAGGCTACTACAGCCTGGGGGGGGGGGGAAGCAGGCCCAGGATCGGCCCCTAAATGCTGCCTGTCATTTTGTTCCCCAACTGGTGGAGGATCAGCTGAAACAGTCTGCAGCAAAACAGCCAGTGCTGGCCTTTCAGCCCTCCCAGAATTCAAAACGGCTGCAGGATGTTTCCAGCACCAGGAAATCCACTCTGGAGGGGAGGATTGTCAACTTCTGGGGTCAGTTCTCTCCCCCTCCTCCCCGCCGTCGTCCCCCCAGGAGTCAAGAACCCAAACAGTCCTCCCTGCAACCTTCCATATCTGCGTGTCGGGGGGGGGGAGCTTGGGGCTGTCCCCTTTTCCTTACCCGAGCCAGCCTCCTTCCAGATGTGCCGGACTTCAGCCCCCACAATTCCCAGGCAGCTGTTGGTGCGGGGCATTGAGGACACGTCCCGGGGATCGAGTTTCTGACCGGCTCTCCCTTGAAATGAGGCCATCGTGTGGTTAGTGTTTGTTTAGCTTGGCAGGTTAGCCAGCGGTGAGGGATCCTGCAGGCCCAGCTTAAGCCTGCCCTCATAGTGGCTCCATGTGTGTGTGTGTATGTGTGTGTGTGATCCCAAGATGGGTTGGCACCAGGGATGGCCTGAGAAAGTCCTTGAGATCCTCCTAGCAGCCTACCTAGACCTTCCCGCAGATGGGTTTGTGTGTGTGTGTGTGTGTGTGTTTAAATCTATTTACAGCCCCAAAGATGGACAGTCCGGACCCTTTCTGTCTTGCCATCAGCCCCTGCACCATGCTGCAAGCCCATAGTGGGTGTGTGTGTGTCCCAGGACTGTGTTGGAGACCCTTGTTGCTTGAGACTTTTCCACTGGACAGAGACAGGATTTTTAAAGATGCAACACTCCCTCTTCCCCCCCCTCCAAGGCACAACACTAGCTGGATGGGGAGTGGGGGTGGGTGGGGGGGAGGTAAAGGATGCTGATCCCATGGAGGGAGACGTAATTACCTCTCTCTGCCCGTAATTGTGGTTGCCGGTTGACTTTCCGTCTTTGCAGAAATGTGCTTGCTGCAGCAGACCCCCCCCCCCCGGCTGTGTGTGGATAGGGCGGTGTTGTTGCTTTTCAGCTGCCCCTCTTTTGAGGGATCCTGTGCAAGGGGGGGGGCTGCTTTGAGGCTCTCCCTCCCCTATCTGCACGAACCCTCTTCACTGCTTAGGGGTCAGTTTGGAAGATGTTCCCGCTCTTGACGTCAGCCCCTCTTTGCACTTTGCACCCGTCGGCTCTTGGTGGTTTTCTCCCCCTGGGGGGGGGGGAAGCAGAAGGCTTGGAAAACTCCCCTCCTCCCGGGGTATGTATGTAAAATTGGGAAAATTCGGAGGCAGCTTTGAATTACTCGGTGTGTAAGTCGGAGCCTCTTTGAACGTTGGTAGCCTGTGCTGGTTGAACTTCCTTTTTTTTAAAAAAAAAAAAAAAGAAACTTTCTCAGGGAATTCAGCACGGTTCCTCCCCCCAGTTCTGCTTCTTTTTACCTTGAAACAGAAATGCTTCTAGTCCTCATGAGCTGAAGGTATTTACAGCCCGCTTCTGTTTCCAGCTTGCTTTCGTTAGACTTGGTGGCCGAGGGAAGCGGGAGGGTGCAGCCGGGGCTTCGGCCCGTGTCTGGGGCTGCCGTTCTTCGGGGTCCCCCCTTGCGCTGCTCTCCCTCTCGCGTCTGACACTCGCCAGGGGACGGGCCTGGCCAGTAACCCGGGGACCTGCCTGGCTTCACCGACCTCGCGAGGTCTGTACTTCGTCCCCGGAGACTCTTCCACTTGCAGGGGCCGAGGGCTGTTTTCAGTTCGGCTTGGATCTGGGCAGGAGAGTGGCAGGGTTGGCAGTGAGCGGGCAACTGGGCTCCGTGTGCCCCGGATTTCTTCTTCTTCTTTTTTTTAAAAGGGGCCGAGAGCAGGAAGCATTCTGTACACGTGCAGAAACCCTTTGGCCTCGCTGATCCTGTTTGCAAAGGGAGAGAAATAGGGGCTCTGTGGGTCCGTGGAAGGGAAGCGATTTGGGCTACAGAGCTTCTCAGCCGGGACGCCCAGGGAGGCCCCCCCTGCCCGTGCCCGTTTCTCACGCCCGCCCGCCTGTCTCCTCTTTCTCTCTCTCTCCTTCCATGCTGCCTCGGCCGCGGCCACCTCCTCTGTGGTGGCAGCTTCTGTTTTTCCCTTCTTTACGCCAGACGCGCCAGTAAACGGCACCCTCGCTTGCCCAGGTAAGAACCCCCCCCTTGTCGCTGGGGTTCCTGAGCTGAAGGGGGGTCTGCCCCAAACAACAGCCCCTCCCCGCTGGGTCCCCCAAAAGATGGCTTGGCTGCGAGCATGTGGGTCAGCCCCTCTTGCCCAGATCAGATGCCAGTCCTCCTCCCCCCCCCAGGTCACTTGCATTACTGAAGACAGTTCCAGAGCCCATGCAGAGAATTGAGGTGGGGGCACCAAACCGCCCCAACAGATCTCTGGGGGCCTTGTGGAGACCCCAGAGGTGTCAAGGGCGCTGTGGGCCTGTGGATCTGCCTGGTGCCTGGCTTGGTGTGAGCCAGATAGTCCCATGTGGGTCAGTTGCTCAGATGAATGGCTGTGGGTCCATTGTTTACGTGTCCTTATTGCCTTTTTCCGTTGCTTTGCCACCCGTCCTACTGTTGGGCCCCTCTTCGTCGATGGGGATAACCAAGGGGGCAGGTTGATTTGGGGGCACTGCTTTCCTGGGGAGGACGAAGGATGCTGGGGGGGGAGGTCCCCACTGGGGAGCCCAGTTGACGGTCAACCGCCTGGCATCTTCACAGCTGCGCTCTTGGTAGCCTCAAGTCTTCTCCCTCATCCCTGCTCTGGGGTCCCTAACATGCAGCCCCCACCCCATTGGGCAGGCCAGTGCAGGGCCCTGATGCTCATAGCAAGCACATGGGCCCCAGATGCTGCTGGGGGCCGAGTCCTGGATGCCACTTTTCTCCTCTCTTCGTTTCGGCTGCTTTTATTTCAAACAGGACTTGGCCTTGCTTGGTGGGCGTCCAGAGGGACGTCAAGGGTGGTGGTGTCCAGAGCTGGAAACCTGACAGGCTGCTTGAATGATGGGCTGGGGGAAATGTGGCTGCCTGGCCACTGCTGGGGGTCCCCCCAACCCTCTGAACGGGCTGCAGGAAGCCAGGGAGGGAGGGGGGTGGCTGGGCTTAGGACTTTGGCCCGCAAAGTGGAGTTTGGGGGCCCCTCTGGGCGGCTTCAGAAGGGCTCTCCCCCTGATCTCGACACGGCTTAACAACGGTTAAATAAAAATACAGCAGGTAGAAGCCAAGTCTGGCCACAGGTCTGAAATAACGTTGGTTTAAATGGTTAAGAAAGCAGGATGGTCTTAGAAAGCGATCGTCTGAATGCTTGGATGTTTTTTTTCCCATTTAGACATGCTTAGCGTCTCTCTAACCCTAAAAAATGCTAAGTGCGCAGATCTTAAAAGTTGCCAAGGTGGGATCCCCCTGCTGTAAAGGCATGAAGGCAAAGAGGAGGGCGAGGTGGTGGGGGGAGTCCCGTGGCTTCAGTGCCCCACGGAGAGGCTCTGCCCGGGGGCGCACACAAGGCCCCCCGCAGCTCCTGCCCACTCAGCCACGGGCAATAACTCTCCGTTCTTGTTTGTTTTTCTGCACGTTGTCGCTTTGTGTTGTGCCCTCCTCCATCAGCCCCATTGCGGCCTGGTAAGATCAGATGCTCCTCCACCCCCGCCTGCCTTGGCCCTCCAAGTGCCTCTCCTCCCCAGTGCGCCCTGCGTGGTCTGGCCTGGCTTTGCCCCCCCAAGCCTCTCGCCTTGATCTGCTGTTGGCATGCTGTACCCTTTTCCCATGCTTTTCTTTGCCCCCCCCCCAGGATTAGATCTTGCTCTGCTCAGAAGGAGGGGGGCAAAGCTACATAAGGATGGGGGGACCAGCCAGAGCCCCCCACCCTTGCACGTCCGGTCAAAGAGCAGATGCCTCCATAAGGTCCAGAGCTTCTAATTTTGGACAAGACCAAGCTGGGGGGGGTGTCGCTGAGGTGGAGACCCATTTGACCTTTCCCCCCCCAGGCTTGCACGGAGAGCTCAAGGCCCAGGACCCCCGCCCGAAATCCCCACTGAGGTGGGGTCAGTCTGGGCTTCCGGGTCTTCGGATTTGCTGCTCCAGTTTCCTTCTGGCCTCCAGTGGGGAGGAAGTGGGGCGTCGGGGGAGACCCTCACGGTCCAGTCCGGGTGATGGGCTGCAGCCCCGCCTTCCCCCTCCCCCTTTCTCTCTCCGTCCATCCAGGTTGGGCTCCCTGTCTTCCTTGGGCGACTCGGCACTGGACCGGCGGTCGAGCAGCCATCATCGCCAGCCGTCCGACTCCGGCGAGAGCACAGGTGTCTCCTTCGCTCCTTTTGGGGGGGGGAGGAGGCTGAGAAAGCAGAGTTTGCACCGAGGGCCGAACTGGCAAAGGGGGTGGGGGGTGGGGGTGCAGCATGTGTCGTCGGAAGGGGGGAGGCTGGCACCTGTTCCCAGCCCCAGCCGGACCAGGGAGGCTTCCTTGCTCAGTCAGCCCTGGGTCTTTCCTGGGGGGGGGGAGAGCGGTGGCCTTGCGCTCCTGGGTGAAGTGACCGATAGAGGGGTCCCCGGGAGGAGAGGGGCCCGCACCTAAGGGTCCTCGCTTGCCTCGGCAGGTTTGGTCCAGCGCTGCGTCATCATCCAGAAAGACGAGCATGGCTTTGGCTTCACCGTCAGCGGGGACCGGATTGTCCTGGTACAGTCCGTTCGGCCAGGTGAGGAGAGGCTGTGGGCATCCGTGGGTGGGTGGGCTCCTGCGGCCTCAACCCCCCCGCCCTGTGCCCCGACTGAGCTGAACTGCCACCAGGAACAGGTGGGAGGATGGGGGGGGGTGTCAGGCAGAGCTGGAAGGGAGCTGGCAGCTGCGCACCCCTTACCTGGGCAGGTTATGGTGCCTGTTCCTAATGCCAGATGCTCTTCAAGGCCCTCCAGGCAGCCTTCTCCCTCCCTCCCTCCCTCCCTCCCTTGTGCATTCTGCCACCCACCTCCCCCCCCATGGCTTTCTCTCTGTGGTTGCCTCCAGGTGGAGCTGCAATGAAGGCCGGGGTGCAAGAAGGTGATCGGATTGTCAAGGTGAGTTGTGTCTCCAAGGGCTGCCCCAGCTGCTGCCCCTGTCTCTATAAATGTGGGCCAGCTTGCAGTCTGCTGGGAGGAGGGCACCCTCCCCACACCATGGCTGCCCGGCTGCTGAGCCCGTCCTCCTCGCTCTCCCTGGCAGGTGAACGGGACCGTGGTCACCAACACCTCCCACCTGGAAGTGGTGAAGCTCATCCGATGTGAGTGGGCCGGGCTCGGGGTTCGGGAAGGCTGGCTTTCGACGGCCGGGGGAGCCTGGAGCCACAGCGGCTGCTTGGGACAGTGACCGAGGTGGTCCCCCGCAGCTGGGTTGCCCCGGGAGGCGTCATCCGTTCCCCGAGAACCGTCCGTGTTTGAAACGGCTGAAGGTCTTTCTGTCCTCTCTCTGCTTCTCTCTTTCCGCCCTCTGCCCCCCAAGCTGGCGCTTACGTTGCTCTCACCCTGCTGGGCTCCCCTCCTTCGTCTTCGGGCTTCCCGGGATCGCAGCATGACCGGCAACAGGCGGGGACCCCGCAAATCACGTGCACGTACCCACCGCCCCCGCCACCACCACCACCGCCATTGCCGCCGCCTGCCCACCGTGTCACCGCTGGGCCAAAGCCACCACAGGTACCACAGAGGTGCAGGCGGGGATGAGCTGGGGCCAGAGCGGGAGACCGGCACTCACCTCTCTCTCTGGCCTTGCCAACTTCAGGACCCGGAAGTGCAGAAACATGCGACGCAGATCCTCAGGAAAATGCTGCAGCAGGAAGAGGCCGAACTGCAGGTGGGGGTCGAAGCGCTCCGAAGAAAGCAGAGCTGGGTGCCCTGCAGGGGCCGAATCTGGGTCCTTCTGGCCCTGCCCCCTCCCCTCCCTGTTGGCTTTTACTGACCGGGTAGCACCAAATAAGGCCATCACACACACACACACACCTGTCTTTTTCCGCAGCGATGTTACGAGATCTACAGCCAGAATCCGGCTTCTTTGCTGGAGGAGCAGATCGAGGGAGGACGGCGGAGGGTCAGCCAGTTGCAGCTCAAGATTCGGCAGGAGATGGGAGAGCTGGGGGTGAGTGGGGGAGGGGCAGAGCAGCTCCTTGGCTGGTCTGGGCCCTGAAGGCCTGCGGGGGGGGGGGGTGCCAAGAAAGAGGAGGGGGTCCTTGGGCCTTTCCTTGCGAGGGAAGTGCCAACAGGGGTCTCTCCCCCCCTCTCTGCTTCCCAGGATGTCCTCCGGCTGTCCAGCGATTCCAGTTCTCTCATCTCCCGGACGACGGACGGTGAGTTTTGCTGCTGCCCCTTTTTAGAATCGTAGGCTTGTCTGTGAGCGGGAAGGGTCCTTGGGGGGGTTTAGAGTTTTGCCTGTTGGTTCTCGGGGAGCCCTCCGGGTGTCTACAGGTGTTCCCCCTCCTCCTCCTCCTCCTCTTCCGTGTGTCACCGATTCCCTCTTGAGCGGCATCCTGCCTTTGTCTCCCTGCAGGAGGCCTCTCGCTCGACTCCCAGGATGGCGACAGCGGCCTGGACTCGGGCACGGAGCGCCTCCCTTCCGTGAGCGAAGTGAGTGGGCAGGGGCTCCACCTTCCCTCGGTGCCAGGGAAACTGCCCATGTCGGCTGACCTGAGAATGCCGGTTTCTTTTGGCGCAGATCAACCGGAACTCTGTCGTTTCCGATCCTGGCCTAGACAGTCCTCACACCTCGCCCGTTGCCGCCTCGCGGCTGTTCTTGCACCATCGACGCCAAGGCTCCGACACCCCCTTCTCGCCCCCCGCAGAGCAGGTGAGGGCAGGCGGGGCCGATCCTCGGGGCCTCCGCCTGTGGGGGGAGGGGGAGCAGACCCTCACCTGCGGTGCTTGCAGTCTGATCTTGGGCCACCCCGGACGGGGCCTTCGGCTTCCGGTTTTTGTTTGGCATCTGGACATGGAGACCTTCAGTGGCGCAGCTGTTTTGCCCTCCTCCTCCTCCTCCTCCTCCTCTGCCTACTACTACTACTACTACTACTACTACTACTACTACTACTACTACTACTACTACTCGGCACCTGCATCTCTTTCGTGGGAACACTTTCATCCCTTCTTTCTGCAGAGTTTGGATCACAGGCTGCAAACTTCTATCATTGGCCCGGAAGAGGATTACGACCCAGGATACTTGGACAACGAGGTATTGTGCTTCCTCTTTCTCACGTCTACACAACTCACAGGGAATCCCGTTCACACCATTCCCACCATTCAGCCCCTCCTTGAAGCCGTCCTGCAAGGGGGAATCTCCTGCTCTTTGCCGCTGTTGCTGCGAGGTGCTTCCGAAGGTGGGGCACTCCCTGGGGTGAGGGTCCTTGAGGTGCAGGGAGGCCCAGTATGTGTGTGTGTGTGGGGGGGGCTCTTTTGCACTTGTTTGTGTGTTCTTTGGGTGAGCCATCTCTTTTTCCCCCATCGCAGAACGACTCTCTGTTCCAAGACTTGGGGAAGCTGAAGACGCGGCCAGCCCACCTCGGAGTTTTCCTGCGCTACATCTTCTCTCAGGCAGATCCGAGCCCCCTGGTACGGTCCTGGGGGGGTCCCTTTCCTCCCCTGGGGCTGGAGAAGGGCTCCAGTTTAAGTCCACTTCCTTTTTAAACTGGCCTTCCCCTCCACGGGATTGATCCATCTTGCCCAGCCTCCTCTTGCTTCCAGTTCTGCTGTGATGCTTCCTTCCTTCTTTCCTTCCTTCTCTCCTGACAGCTCCTGTATTTGTGCGTGGACGTTTACCTGCAGATGAGTCCCAAAGAAGCCCGGGGGCTGGGCAAGGACATTTGGCACATTTTCCTGGACAAAACTGCGGTGAGTCTGGCCAGTCACGTTCGCCACCTCTGCCTCTTGGCACTCCAGTTGTGCTCACATCCACCCTGTGTGCGGTTCCTCAGTGGGGCTTGGGTGGGGCGGCCCCAGGAGAGGGAGACACCGCCCTCCACGCAGTGGAGGCCGCGGAGGCCCCCGTGAGTGGTCAACCTTGTTTTTTCTGCCACTTCCGCAGCCCCTGAGGGTCAAGGTCTCCGATCAGCTGTTGGCGGAAATCGGTGAGTCCATCTGGAGTCCAGGCCTGCGAAGGTGTCCCTCTGCAGGAATTCCCAGGGGGGGTGTTGGGGGGGCTGAGCAGGGCGGGAGAGGGGGGCTTTGGTGCTCTGTTCTTCTTGACGGCTGAGGTCGGAGCTGCCTCTGTGCCCCCTCGGGCATCTTCTCAGGAAGCCCACCCAGCTTCTGCCCATCTTTGTCCTTGCGCCCTCCAGACTCCCGCCTGCGGAATGGAGAGGACGCCCGGAGTGCATTCCTGGAGGTTCAGGAGGCCACCATGCCCGAGATCCAGGAGCAGATCCAAGATTACAGGTCAGCCCCGACCCCCACCCCCTCCTTTGTGGCTGATCTTCTCTTGTCGTCGTCTCCTTTTCCTTTCGGGCAGGACTTCCCGTCCTTCTCCCTCCTCCTCTTGGTCTCATGTCCCATCGTTCCCTTGCCCCTTGCGCAGTGGACAAACCAGAGTGACTCTTATGTAATAATAATAATAATAATAATAATAATAATAATAATAATAATAATAATAATAATAATAATAATAATAATATAATAATAATAATAATAATAATAATAATAAAGTTGGAAGGGACCATGGAGGTCATCTAGTCCAACCCCCTGCTCAGGATGGAAACCCTATACCATTTCAGACAAATGGCTGTCCAGTCTCTTCTTCAAAACTTCCAGTGTTGGAGCATTCACCGCTTCTGGAGGCAGGTGGTTCCACTGGTTAATTGTTCTAACTGTCAGGAAGTTTCTCCTTAGTTCTAGGTTGCTTCTCTCCTTGATGAGTTTCCATCCGTTGCTTCTTGTCCGGCCTTCAGGCGCCTTGGAGAAGAGCTTGATCCCCAATTCTTCTTTGGGGCAGCCCCTGAGATACTGGAACCCTGCTATCCTGTCCCCCCTCGTCCTTCTCTTCATTAAACTAGACATACCCAATTCCAGCAACCGTTCCTTGTATGTTTTAGCCTCCAGTCCCCTAATCATCTTTGTTGCTCTTCTCTGTACTCTTTACAGAGTCTCAGCATCTTTTTTACATCGTGGTGACCAAAACTGGATGCAGTATTCCAAGTGTGGCCTTACCAAGGCCTTGTAAAGTGGTATTAACACTTCACGTGATCTTGATTCTATCCCTCTGTTAATGCAGCCTAGCACTGTGTTGGCCTTTTAAGGGCCGAGGGCAAACCTGGGGCAAAAGCCACCTGCAAGCGGGAGTTTGCTCAGGACGCCGCGTGACCTTCGGCCGGTTTCAGAGGGGGAAGGAAACCTTCTCTGTGCTTGCAGGACGAAGCGTACGATGGGCCTTGGGAGCCTGTATGGTGAGAACGACCTGCTGGACTTGGACAGGGAGCTCCAGAAGGAACGCCAAGTGGCCGAGAAGCAGATGGCGCAGCTGGGGGACATCCTGTGAGTCCCATGGGCGGGCGAGGAAGGGAGGGAAGGGGCCGAGGGTGGGGCTGGCCCCTCCGCAAGAGCCTCGACCCGCCTCTGAATGTGTCCCTCTCTGATGCCAGACGGGCTCGCCGTGGGTCAGATGAAATAAAAGCTTGTGACTTGTCCTCTAGACCGACGCATCTCAAACCCAGCAGCTTTAAGGTGTTGAACTTCAACCCCCAGAATTCATGCTGGCTAGGGAATTCTGGGAATTCAAGCCTAGGGTTGTCAAATTTGAGAAGCATGGTCCTAGACGTAATGGACAAGAAGAGGAAAAAGGGTGCCAGACCAGCTTAAGAGGCGTTTGACCTTCTTGATTTCTTTCCCGCTTTAGATCCAAATATGAAGATCGGAGGTGAGTGTCTCCTTTGAACTCGGCACTTCAGGACCTCTGGGGATCCTGGCTTTTTTGCTGGCCCGAGTTGCTTTCTTTTTAAATGTATAATTTCTAAGCGTTCCGTTCTTCCTATCGTGTACGCTTCAGCAAAACACCTTGAAAACATGAACGTAAGTCATTGGCTGCTGAAAAGCTTATTCCGATTATCCCTGGTGAATTACTAGTTTGCTAACTTGCAGTAACTATTCGGGAGCAGGTCTCTATCGGGCTCCTTCCCAGAATGCATTTGGCAGTCCTTGGGAGGGTCTGACCCAGAGCCAACCTAGGCCAGGCCTCTTCAGGACCAAGGACAGCTCTGCCAGGGCACAGGCGTTGCTCCCACTGGAGACCCTGGGGGCTGGGAGGAGGGGAGGGTTTCTGGGAACTGCGCTGGGGGGGGACTCCAACCAGACTGCCCTCCCCTCTCCTTGCAGCTCCTCCATGAGCTTTGCCCTGAAGACCTACATGATCCACATGGGCATCTACCCGCGGGAGACCCGGCCGGCCAGCGTTGTGGAGAAGTCCCAGGAGAAGGACAAGTGGCTACCTTTCTTCCCCAAGACCAAGAAGGTGGGCGGTGCACTGGAAAGCGCAGGTGTCAACGCTGCAAATACTGTATATTCTTGCTTTGACAATATGCAGAACTGTCTGGTATTTATATAGTTAAACCAGCAACTGGGAAAGAGGGAGGAGCATAAGGAAAGCCCGGGAGAAAGAAACCGGAAGTAAATCACATCTTCCAAGTTGATTGGAAGATGTGAACCATGACCCTACAATAAGGGAGTGGGAAATGCTTGGAATGTATATGCATAACGGAAGAGAATCCAGACCTAAGCATTTCCACCATGCTGTACTGACGTCTCTGTAACCTTAATAAATGCTTTTAGGAAAAAATATGCCTGAAAGTCCCTTTAAGTGTTTCGTTAATCAGACACATGACAGCAGGACCCCGTTGTCCTTCCCCCTACCCCCACCCCACCCACCCCGGCTCGGGGCACCCTGACACGCCTCTCCCTTTCTTGGGGCCACAGAGCAGCAGCGGCAAGAAGGAGAAGGACACCGCGGTGGAGGACCGAAAGCGGAACCCCATCCTCAAGTATATCGCCAAGCCCAAAAGCACCTCCCAGAGCAGTGAGTCCGCTGGGGAGGGGGCAGGTTTGGGCCTTTCTGCTTCCTGCAAATGCACCCCCTCCCCTGACTTTCCAGATCCCCCCCACTCCGCCCCCAGGCTGGCCGGGCGGGTCCTGCCACCGCCTGCCCCCTCTTCTTCCTTTGGCCCCTCTCATCAGCCCCAGTTTGATTTTGACATCCCATTTCTGTTTCTCTTTCCAGCATTTCATGTCCCCCTGTCCCCTGTTGAAGGTAAACACGGAAACAATCCCCCCCCTCTTCCCCCACCCCCAGCTGGTCCCCCCTCCTTCCGCCTGCTGCTTTCACAACCGTGGAGGGCCTGGTTCCCTGATTCCCGCCCCCTCCCCCAGAAGTGGCAATAGTAGCTCCCAGCACCCGTGTTCTGCCAGGGTGGGGCAGTTTGCTCCGGGGAACCCCCCCCCCCGAGCAGGTATGGCTCAGCCCATCCTTCGCCTTCCCCATCCGGGCTTCTAATCCTTAATGGCTCCTTCCCCTTTGACAGTTAAGCCAGGCAACGTGAGGACCATCATCCAGCATTTTGAGAACAGCCAGACCCACGAGGGCCAGGAAGCCGGCCTGCAGCGTCTTTCCACGGGCAGCTTCCCCGAAGACCTTCTCGACTCGGAGAGGTGAGGGGCTTGGCCGGCTCTGGCCATTGTCCTTCCTCCTTGGAGGGGGGGGTCTCCTTTCCTAATGAACCGGGGCCACGCTCTCCGAGTCCCTGGCTGCTCTGCTCCGCCCGGAAACGGTGGCGTTTGTTGTGGGGAGAGGGCTGGGTGCCTGGTGCTGGGGAGCCCCCCCGATCCTCAGCCCCCCCTTCCTCCAGTTCCAGGGCCGAGGTCCGGCTCGGCCGGTCGGAGAGCCTGAAGGGGCGGGAGGAGCTGAGGCGACTGCGCAAGGCCGAGAACGTCCCCCGTTCCCGCAGCGATGTGGACATGGACGCTGCCGCCGAGGCTGCTCGGCTCCACCAGTCGGCGTCGTCCTCCGCCTCCAGCCTCTCCACCCGGTAAGGCGGCATCTCCTTGCGCCCTGATGGCGCCTGCCTGGCACGGCTGTGGCATCTGCCAGGCGTCCGAGCCCAGGGGAGGCCAGCTGGGTGTTGCCACTCTGAACGGCGGGCAGAGCGTGGAGGCTCTTGGGGGAGGATATGGGGGGGTCCCGCTGAGCATAAGGAAAGGGGGAAGGGTGATGAACTTTGGGGTGGGTGAGTGGGAGGGATGCTTGCCCAGGGCTGACTCTAATGTCTCCTGGTCTCCAGGTCCCTGGAAAACCCCACCCCGCCCTACACTCCCAAAATGGGGCGCAGGTGAGTGGGAAGAAGACCAGGGGCCGGGGGAGATGATGAGTGAATCGCTTTTAAATCTGGCAGCTGTTGCTAACACACACACAACCCCCCCCCAGGCAGCCCAGTCCCCATCCTCCTTTTCCCAAGGGGGGAGGGGGTCCTTGCTTGGTCTCCTCCCCCTTTCCCTGCCCTCCCAGGCGGAGGGGATGTAGAGCTGCTGCCGAGGGGTCCAGGGCGCGTCCCCTCCCCCCCGAGGGCCCAGCCTGACCCCTTCTCGTCCCGGCAGGAGCATCGAGTCTCCCAGCCTGGGCTTCAGCTCGGAGGCCCTGCTGCCCCACTTGCTGGAGGACGAGCTCGGCCAGTTCTCGGACCTGGAGGGAGAGCTGGACTCCCAAAACTGGCAGCACACGGTGGGCCGGGAGGCGGCCGCCCAGCTGGCACAGCGGGAGATCGATCGCCAGGAGGTCATCAATGGTGAGGGAGGAGAAACGGGGGCCTGGCGAGGCCCTCGGTGGGGGGGAGAGGGGTCCTGGGTCCTCAGAGAAACCCTGGGGTGGGCTGTCCCTTTGGGGGAGGGACGGAGGTCAACCAGTGCCCGATTCTCTCCCTGACCTGGCTGGGCCTCCAAGGGGCAGCCTTGGGTCTCTCCCCATGGCCCATGGTGCCCAGCTAGATCTGACTGGATCCGGGTCCACGTTGCCCCCCCCCAGAGCTGTTCGTGACCGAGTCTTCCCACCTGCGGACGCTGCGCGTGCTGGACCTCCTTTTCTACCAGCGCCTCCGGAGGGAGGGGCAGCTTTCCCGGGAAGAGCTAGCCCTGCTCTTCCCCAACCTTCCGGAGCTGATCGAGATACACAGTAAGGCTGCCCCCACCTCCTACCCCCTCGGGCTCCGGGGGTCCCACTGGACACACGAGAAACGCAGCCCGGATGGAGTGGAAAGATGTGGGGAAAATTTGGGAGTGGTCTTCCCTGGACTGGCGGGGTGGAGAGGTCTGGTGCTGTCCCAGAAGGGTACGGACGCCACTTGGAGTCTCTTCTGGTGCTGCCGTTGGAGGGGGGGGGCTGAAATTATGGGATGGGCTCACAATCTGCTGGGCCTGGGCCGTTGCTGGGCTCAACCTCCAGGGGCTGATTCAGTAGAAGGGGATTGGGCAGCAGCGTTAACCGGGCTGGTGCTGGGCACACAGGTGGGATTGGGGGTGGCTGTGGGGTGCCTTTCCTCGGGGGGCTTGGCTGCTCCCCGTCTACCCCACCGTCTCTCTTCCTCGCCAGATTCCTTGTCGGAATCCATGAAAAGGCTGCGGGAAGAAGGGCCGGTGGTGAAGGAGGTCGGAGACTTGATGCTTTCACGGGTGAGCCACGGAGAGGGGCCTGGGGGGGGGGGTAGTGGGCCTTGCTCCGAGATGGACCCCCCACCTCCGCCATCTCCTCCTCCCTAGTTCGATGGGGCGGCACTTGAGGAGTTCCAGCAAGTGGCGGCCGAGTTCTGTGCCTACCAGTCCATGGCGCTGGAGCTGATCAAAACCAAGAAGCGGAAGGAGACGCGCTTTCAGCAATTCATGCAGGTGGGCAGCGGGCACCCAGGGGGGTGGCGGTCGTTGCGCTCGAGGGAGAAATCGATCAGGGCAACCGAAAAAAAAGGGCAGCTGGAAGAGCACATATGAAGCGCCCCTCGTATCCCCGGCTGCCTGGGACTCCTGCAGGCGGGGAGGGGCCTGCAGAGGGCGCCCCCCCTCCCAGCCCGCTTTCTGCTGCTCCCCAGGAGGCCGAGAGCCGCCCGCAGTGCCGCCGCCTGCAGCTGAAGGACCTCATCATCGCCGAGATGCAGCGCCTGACCAAGTACCCCCTGCTGCTGGAGAACATCCTCAAACACTCCCTGGGTGGGTGCTGCTCCTCTGCCAGACGGGCCCTCCCCCCCACCCCCGGCCAGGTGCCTCCGCTGACCAGCTGCCCTCCTCTCTGCCCCCTCCTCCAGGGCAGACTCCGGAGTACCAGAAGCTCTGCCTGGCTCGTGACCACTGCCGGGAGGTCCTCAGGTACGTGAACGAGGCGGTCAAGCAGGCGGAGAACCAGCAGCGCCTGGAGTCCTACCAGAAGCGCCTGGATGCCACCTCGCTGGAGCGGAGCGGCAATCCCATCGCAGCCGAGTTCAAGGTAAGCCTGGCGCCTACGTGGGGGGGAGAGGGGGGAGGGTCCCTGCGTGGCCCCTGCTGACCGCTTCCTGCCTGCCCTGCCCAGAACCTGGACCTGCGAGGACGCCGGATGATCCACGAGGGCCCCCTTGCCTGGCGCATCAGCAAGGACAAGACCGTGGGTCTGTATGAGCTGAGAGAGGGAGGGTCTCTTAGGGGGGAGGGATCCTGTCGCCTTTCCATGAAAGGAGGAGGGGAATGGGGTCCCCTTTGCCGGGGGCCCCAAAGACTGGGGGGGAGAGGCGTGCTGAGAGCGCTGTCCCCCCCTCCCCAGATCTGCAGGTGCTGCTGCTGCAGGGCCTCCTGGTGCTTCTCCAGCGTCAGGACGAGCGGTTGGTGCTGAAGTGTCACAGCCGGACGGGGTTGGGCTCCTCGGACATCAAGCAGACCTTCAGCCCCGTCCTGAAACTCAGCTCCGTCCTCATCCGCTCCGTGGCCACCGGTGAGCCTGCCCCCCATCCCCAGCGGGGCTCGAGAAGGGCAGGGGGGTCTCAGGCCGAAGGTGAGGGTTGTAAACGTGGCCCCGCCGGCCTCCGCTTCCCTCCGCAGACAAGCGCGCCCTGTTCATCATCTGCACCTCGGAGCTGGGACCCCAGATCTACGAGCTGGTCGCCGCGAGCTCCCTGGAGAAGAACACGTAGGGAAACGGGGGGGCTCCTGGGGAGGGGGTTGCGGGGGCCGCCCAAAGGGAGGGCGGATGGCAGGAGGAAGAGCGGGTTTTGGGGTCTTTCGGGGGGAGACGGCACCTGAATTTGCCTTGTTACAAACCGTGGCTGCCTGGGGACCCCCCCCCCCCGGAGCTGACAGGGCCAGGCAGGACCAAAGCTGCTGCCCCCCCCCCATTTGAGGGAGGGGCTCTTGAGAAAGTCTCCTGGCCTTGCCCGGCAGGTGGATGGACCTCTTAGAAGAGGCGGTGAAGAGCGCCACGCAGAAGGCCACGCTGCCCAACCAGCACCATGCCAAGGAGCTGCGGCCCCCCCGGCCGGCCCCAACCAGGTGGGCGAGGGTCCTGCAGGAAGGGGAGGGCCATGCCTCACCCCCCCTTCTCCTAGGCCTGGACTTGCTTCCCGCACTGGACCTCTCTCGTCTTTCTCCACAGCTTCATCTTCCAGGACGCCGAGGTCACCCCCAGGCCGGGCCAAGGGAGCAGCCCCCCCCACCGTGAAGTGGAGGAGGAGGAGGGAGAGGAAGGGGCCTCAGGTAGGCCATGGGACTTTGGGGGTAGCAAAAGGCAGGGAGGGGCATTGCTCCCTTCCAGCTCCTGTCTGGTTGGATGGTGGGAGGGGGCAGCTCTTCCTCTCCCCCCCCCCCAAATGCTGCTTCTCAGAGTCCCTCCCCCTTCCCAGATGACACTCCGACCGAAGCCTTTGCAGCCGAGCAGCTGGAGATCGGGCACCCAGAGGAGGAGGAGGAGGAAGAGGAGGAGGAGGAGGAGGAGGAGGAGGAAGGCCACGCACCCACTGCCCTTCCATTGCACCCTCTGGAGGAACAACCCCCCCCTCAAAAGCCTCCCTACCTGGAGAGCATGGCTGAGTCCGCCTTGGGGGACGGTAGGTGCCCCCTTACCCAGGAGGCCTCCCGCCAGCCTCGGGGGAGGGGGGCTAGGGGGCCGTATGGATGGTTGGTGGGTGTGAATGGGGATGAAGGTGGTCTTTTCCCCCTTTCTCCCGGCAGTGGAGACCCTACGGAGGCTTCTCCTGCACAGCTTCCTGCCCCGCCAGGACTCCGAGCCGGACGACGACCTGACCCCCACCCCGTCAGGGCTCAGCCACAAGCGGCCCCGGGGCTCGGCGTCTGCCAGCCAAGAGCAGCCCCCTCTCCCTGGCCCTCCGGAGCCGGACGTGCAGGAGGGCCTGACCGGGCCCCCGTCCTCACGCCCCACAAGCGATCCCGGGCCGGGCGGGGACCAGGAGGCGACGCCCCCCCCTGCGGCCCTGGCAGACGACCAGCAGTCTGAGACTCCGAGCGGCTACCTGGTGGTGCGGAAAGGTAAGCGCGGGGGAGGGGAGGGGTGACGGGCGGCAGCTCCAGGGTCCTGGGACCTGCCACCCTTGGCCATCTTTGGGGAGGGGCTTGGCACCCTGGCTTGATCTGCAGGGAGTGACAGCTGGTCTTCGGAGCCTGTTGAGAGCCCGGGGCACAACCTCCAGCCTCCCCCCTTTCCGATGCCCCCTGGAAAGGGCTTGGCTGCGGCCAGTCCGGCCGATTCCTCTGGCTTTGCTCTCCTCCTCTTCCTCTTCGTCTTCCTCGCCTGCCTTCTGCTCCCTCCCGCTTGCCTCTCCGCTGCCTTCCTGTGGGTGACGGGTGCTGGACCCTCCTGGGATTCCCATTGGTGACCAACTGTTGTTTCTCCTCTCCTCTCCTCCCCCAACCCCCCCATCCCACATGCACTTTCTCTTTCCTGGTGTCTCTTGCGCAGCTGAGGTGGAGGGCAGTAAAAGTGCTCAGCTCTCGATGGCGAAAGACAGCCAGGCGGGCATTGACGCCGGAGGCCCCCCTAATGCAGATGGTAAAGACCAAACTAGACGCCTCCCCACCCCACCACCCCAGATTGTGCAAAGGACTTCTGTGTCCTTCGGGGGGGGGGAGAGAGAATCAGGGCCCCTCTGGTCTCCGAGGCTGGGGGCGGGCGAGGGGGGGTGTACTGTGCCGGGGCTGCCTTTGAGGGGGGAGACAAGGGGGTCTGCACCCCGGGGTGTCTGCTTCCCTTCAGCATCACTGGGCTATTTTATTTATCATACAGTCGCCATCTGACGTGTGTGACTCCGGGCGGTGCGCACAAACGCACCCAGCCAAAACACTCACCGTAATTAAAGCCATTCAGACACGGAGGGACTTTCGAGTTGGGTTTTGAAGCAGGAGCCCAATTCAGAAGGAAAAGCACCTTCCCACGCAGCCTTCCGGAGGCGGGAGAGGGGCCTGGCTTGGCTTCGGGAGCCCCTTCCCCCAAACAGGCCCCTCTGAGTCGCCCAGCCTGCAAGCCTCAGCCATCCCCCTCCTCCTCCTCCATCCAGGAAACTGTTTCTACTTAAGCCTGCCGGCCGACTTCGAAAAGCCCCAGGCAGGTGCCAAGAGTGCCGGGGAGACGGTGGACGCTCTGAGCCGGGCACCCTCCTTGCCTACGGCGGTGCCTTTGCCCGGCTGCCAGGAGAGCACCAGGGAGACCCTGGCGAGGGGGCTGAGCATGGCAGAGTTCCCGGCATCCAGCCAGGGCATGCAGGACGTGGAGGCCATCTTCCGGACAATAGAGCAACTCACGCGCAAGCTGTGCAAACTCAAGGTGAGTCGGGATGTGGGAATGAGGCAAAGTGGGTGGGTGGGGGGCTGCATGCCCAGAGTAGCGATGGGGGGGGGCAGGGAGAGGTCCTGGCTTCCCCCCTTGCAGCTCTCTTCTCCCCTTGCAGGACGTGGAAGGGGCATACCAACAGCTGCTGCTCCGGCACCCCACCACACAAGCCACTCCTGGACAGGGACGCGCATCCCCGGAGCTGAGCTGGATGTCGCCCAGCACCCACCGGGGGTCCAGAGCCAGCCGTCCCTCTCTGCCCTCCTCCCCACAGTCTCCAGTGGCTGCCAAGCCTGGTATGAGGGCTGGAGGGTCCCGGTGCCCCATCCCTGCCCGCTGTCCACCCGGGGGCTGACGCCTTTGTCTTTGCAGACATGAACGGGCTCTCTCTCACCCTGCCGGAAGACGGCTCCCAGGAAGTGACCCTGTAGGGTAGGAAGGCCTCCGCCAAGGAAGGAAAACGCACCTCCAGGTGATGCCTCCTTCGCCCTCCCACCCCTCCCGGCCCGTGCTGAAGATGGGAGGAGGCCGGGGATGGGACCGGCAGCTGCCAGGGTGAAAAAAAATGGCGAAACCCAAGGAGGAAGCAGAGAGAGCTGGACGCCGCCTCGTCGGGAAGCAGACTTTGGCTTCGCCTGAACTGTTGTGTGAAAACATCTGGAGGCTTCCCCAACTGGAGCCAGCGAGCGAGCGAGCAAAAGCAGACTTTCCGCTCTTTTCCCCTGAAACGTAAGGAGCCCCCCCCCCGTCCGTCCGTCCCTCCCTCCCTCCGCTGGCTGACTTTGGGGTCCAGCCCTTCGTTTTGTCCCCTAGATGAATTGATGGCGTGCTTGCACGTTGGGTATGCGTGAAGAGTTGTGTAGACATACATACACGCGGCCCTGCCGCCTGGCTTTTCCACGGCACAGGACAGCGGGAGTATACTATTCTGTATCATTGCACTTTTGTTTTCCTTAACGTCTTCTCTCCGTGGGGAGGAAAGTCCAGACCTTCTCCTCGGATATAAATATGTATGTATGTGCATCGAGGTTTTGTAAATACGATAGGCGGTTGTTTCCCTGTGGCTGCTTTTGGTTGTTTTTTTTTTTAACTTGTCTCCATTCCTCCGTTCCTATTTCCAAGGCTCTTTGCTGAAGGGCTTGGGCTGATGGGGGGAGGGGGGGGCTGGTGGCTGGGAAGACCCCCAGCTCTGCCTGCTGAAGCAGCCAGGGCTGCCAGACCCCCACCCCCCCCACCCCACTGAGGCAGCCCCTCCAGGAAAGGCCGGTTCCCCTGGCTCTTCTCAGGCTGCTGCCAGCCGGCTCTCCCCTGGAGTTTACGCACCAGAGTTACCGTGCTGAAAGCCCGTTTTATTTTATTGCTTTCAGTGCTAAAAATGATTTTTCAACAAAAAAAAAGAGTAAAAGATTCCACCTCTTGCCTGTGAGAGAGATCTGTTTTTCCATTTAAAAGGGACAGCTGTCCAGCGCTTCTGCCAGCACAAGTCCCCCCCGCCCCCCGTCTTGGAGTTGAAAAGCAGAGGGGTGGGTTTGGAGGGGGGGGTCTGCCCTGGTGCCCACCCCTGGATCTGGACCACCCAGCCGGAGAAGAGGGGCGCCCGTGGGCCCTCTGGTACCGCCAGGTTTAACAGGCTTTCTCTCCCCCCCCCCCACCCTCCCACACTGTAATTTTTTACACCAGAAGATAATTTCAAGTTTTCTCATGTGGCTTTTAATGGGCAGAATAGAGAAATCCGCCCTTCCAGGGGGCTTCTCTGCCCTTCGTGCCAGTCCTGGGGGCTCCACCCCGGAGGTTTGGCTTGCAGCTTCCGGGCGCAGGATCCCGGGCCAGAAGCTGGGCTGGGCTTACTGGGCAGCGGCCACCAGCTCCTCTTCCGGCTTGGAGGCCCTGGGGAGGGGGTCTCGGGGCACCATGAGCTCCTGGATCCTGCAGTAGGTCTTGCTCTCGGCTGGGAAGAGGTTTTTCTGGGAGGGTCAACAAAAAGGGTGGGGGGACCCCAGGTGAGGGCAGGGGTTGAGGACTCCTGGTGGCAAGGAGGGGGGGGCCGCCCACGCCCTTTGCCCCACGCTCTTTGATTGGCAGGGACTCACCGCCAGAGAGAGATGCAGGAGGCCGGTGGGCCCCTTCCCCCCAGGGAGGATCCGGCTGACCTGGTACTCCACCGTGGCCAGGAAGGCCTTCAGACCGCTCTCGGAGATGTGGTTGCCTTGGGAGGCAAGGAGGGGAGGGCAACGCTCTGGTCAAGCTCCTCCCGCCATCTTGGGGCCCTGTGAAAGCCGCAGGGCGCCCCCCCTCCCCCAAGCCCTGCTCCCCGACATACGCATGAGGTTCAGGTAGATCAGAACACGGTTCCCCTGAAGGAAAACCTGCCCCTCGCGGTGCTCCGCGGGTTCCAGCAAGGGGTTCATCATCTCGGTGGGCTCCAGGATCTGCTGCAGGGGGGGGGGCAAGGCAGGCAGGTACAGTAGTTGCTGCAGGAGTGGGGGGAGAGGAGGGTATGGCTGCCCCCCCCCTCAGCCACTTAAGATTCCGGCCAGGTGGGATGGTTTGCAGAGGATAGGCAGACCTTGGTTCTGGGGGGAGGGGTGGAAGGGATGAGGCTCAGCCATCCATGCTGGACTCGGCTAGAGCCTGGGGGGGTGGAAAGGGGGGGCTCACCTCCACTTCCAGGATCTGGGACCGCTTGTCCTTAGAGCCCAGCTTTACTCCCTTGGCCCCCTTCGCTTTGGGATCCACCGGGGGGACGGCTGCAGGAGAGAACTGGAGCTCAGGGGCCTGGGGGGAGGCCTCCAAGGCCCGGGGATCGGGAGAGGGGCCCAGCTGGCCCAGCCAGAACCTTTCTTGGATTGCTTGGCGTCTTCCTTCTTGGCCTGGGCCGCTGGCGCTGCCGGTGGCTGTGCAGGGGCCGCTCCGCCCGCTGGGCCCTTCTCCTCCTTTTTGGTGGGTTCCTGGAAGAGGCCAGACGCCGGTCTCTGCCTGCCCCGGGGGGGGAAGGAGGGGCTGGCTCTGCGGTCTCTTGATGTCCCCCCTGGCTCCCTGCCCCAGACACCCCCCACCCGCCCTCGGGATAGCTCGCCTTCTTCTTCACGACGGCCTTGGCACCCTTGGCGGTCTGCAGCTTGTCGATGGTGGTGCTGCTGACGTGGCTGGCCGGGCGGTCGCCCTTCAGCTCCAAGTGTCTCTGGGGCTGACGGGAGAAAAAGGAGGGGGGGCTCAGAATTGGGGAGGTGGGCTTGGGGGACTCTGCCTCTGCAGAGCCTCCGATTCATCCCGTCCACCTTCGCAGGGCAGGGGTGCCTGTGCCAGTTCAGCCTCTTTTTCCGAGTGAGAGATGCTTCGTGGCCTGCCCCGCGGGCAGCGATGCTCACCAGGCGGCCTCTCTCCTGGGCCTCCTTCTCCAGCAGCAGCCTTCGCCTCTCCACCACCTCCGTGTGGGTGAGGGCGAAGGGGCCGAGCACCTGCAAGGCAAGCAGCCGGCTGAGGGACCCCTCGTCACGGCCCTCCCGCCGCCCTGCGGCCCCGGCTGCTCCGATGGGGGCAGGCAGCCTCCCGGCACTGACCTCGGCCAACTTCTGGGCGCCCTCGTCCCCGATCTGGTTATGTGCCAACGACAAGGACAGCAGGGACCGGTTGAGGCGCAGGCCCTGCACGGAGAGAGAGGGGGGCACCTGAGGGTGGGCTCCCCACCGCCCGTCCTCAGCGGGACGGCCGGTGTGCCAAGGAAGAGCCCAGGCGCCCTTTCCCAGCGGCCTCACGTTGGCGAGGTGGGTGGCCCCCACGTCCGTGATGTGGTTGTAGCTGAGGTTGATGGAGGCCAGGTTCTTGTTGGAGCTGCGGAGCGAGGAGAGCGCCTGGCCGATCAGCAGCACCGCCTGGTCGTCCATGCCGTTGTTGCGCAGGGAGAGGTGGGCCAGGCTGGGGAGGAAGAGCAGGGCGGTGCCAGGGTGGGGTGGGCCACCTTCCCCCTCCCTCCCCCACCTGGGCTCCTCCTGGGTGCCCACCGGAGGAGGCCAGGGGAGCAGTGGCAGCCGGGCCCTGGGCCAGGGGACGGCCGGACTTGGCTGAGGGCCCCGGTGGCAGGGGACGGAGGGGTCCTGGGGCTCACCTGCTCTCCTCCGAAAGCAACTTGTAGAAGGAGCGCTCGGGCAGAGGGTTCCCTTCCAAGACCAGCGTCCTGCAGGGCGGGAGAAGAAGCTCGGCCGCCCTTGCCCGGCCAGCCCCTGCCCTCCTTCCCTCCCCAGCAACGGGGTGGGGGGGTCACCTACTTGAGGTTGGCGCAGGCGGCCAGCACGGGCAGCAGGGTGAGGAAGGTGGCATCGCTCAGGCCGACCTTCCAGAGGCTGCAGGGCGAGGAAGAGAGCCGGGCAGTCCGGACGCCGCCCCGACGGAGCCCACCCCGCCCCACCCGCCCTGGTGGGCTCACTCACTGCAGGGCCTGGAGGTGGGCGAGGGCCGGCAGGCACTTGGCCAGCACGCCCAGCATCTTCTCCTCGATCTTCCAGCCTGCGGGAAAGAGGGAGGGAGGGAGGCGGGCTAGAGTGGGTGACCCGGGGGCGCCAGGGGGCGCGGAGGGCGCACACACACACACACACACACCACTCACTGCGGATGAAGACCTCGCGGGCGCTCTTGGGGTCCTCGTGCTCCAGCTCCACCTGCACCGACGGGCGGAAGTAGCCGTACTTGGCTTGGATCTGGGCCAGCGCCGGCAGCGCCTCCCGCTGCTCCCACGTCGGGCCGGCCCCGCCGGGACCCTCGGGCTCCTCTTGGGGGGCTCCGGCGGGCGGGTGGGGGCGGCTGACCACGCGGGGGGCCTCCTGCAGCCCGGCGCGCGCGCACAGCTCGGGGAAGTCCAGCTCCAGGGCGCCGCCGCACACGTACTCCTCTGCGGGGGGGGAAGGAGAGGGAGGGTCAGTGGGGGGTCGGGTGTGTGTGTGGGGGGGCGCACCGGGCTTGTGGGGGGGGTCCGGCACCTTCGCCGTGCTCTGCCCTGCGCGCCGCGATGCGCGCCTCCTCCTCCTGCGCGGCGCTCTTGTCCTTGGCGCCCCGCTCGCCCTTCTTGCCCATCGCGGCGGCGGAGGAGGAGGAGGAGGAGGATGCGGCGGGGCCGTCGCCAGGCAACCGCGGCAGGGGCGGGGCCAAGCCTTCCCGCCCCGCCCTCCCCCCGCGCTGGGGCCGACGGGAGTCGTAGTCCGCCGGGCGGCCCCTCCTCCTCCTCCCCCCCCCGACGCATCTGGCCGGCCCTGCTGCGAGATGGCGGCGCCCGGAACGGAGCCCGACGCCGAGCTGGAGGAGCTGCTGGCGAGTGAGCGGGGCCGGGCCGGGCTGGGCGTGGGCGGCGGGGTCCGCGGGGGTCTTCCCGGCCGCCCGTCCGACCCGGCTGCGCTGTCTCCCTCTCCCTCTCTGCAGGCGCCCTGGAGGACTTCGAGAGAGCCGCCCCGGCGCCCGGGGAGCCCGCCGGAGGAGGAGGAGGAGGAGGAGGAGGGGAGGGCGGTGGGAGCAGCGCGGAGCCGGCGGGGGAGTCGCAGGTAAGCGTGGGGGGCANGGAACAGGGGGGAGGGGGGTCCTTCCCCACCCAGGCCAGGGGGGCAGGGGGAGCCGGGGGAGGGGTCCTTCCTCCCCAGGCCAGGGGGGCAGGGGGAGCCAGGGGGGAGGGGGGTCCTTCCCCACCCAGGCCAGGGGGGCAGGGGGAGCCGGGGGAGGGGTCCTTCCCCCCCAGGCCAGGGCAGTGCCTGCAGCCGCCTCCTCCTCCCTCCCTCCCCCCCCCCGGGCAGGGTCGGCTGCTGGCCGCGCAGGAGACCTTCTTCCAGGAGCTCTTTGAGGGCGAGCTGGCCTCGCAGGCGAGCGCCGAGTTCGAGCGGGCCATGGCGGAGCTGGCGGCCGAGGAGCCGCTGCTGGTGGAGCAGTTCGAGAGGCTCTCCGCCGCCGCGGGCAGAGTCGGTGAGCACCCTCGGGGGACCCTCGGGGCACGTGCGGGGGGTCGCGGGGCTCTGCTGGAGAAGAAGAGCCCTGCGAGCGCTGCCGCCTCCGCCTCGTTGCAGGGAGCGACCCGGCGTCCCGCCAGGAGTTCACCTCCTGCCTGAAGGAGACGCTCAGCGGGCTGGCCAGGAACGCCGACGGCCTGCAGGTGCGCCCCTCTCTCCCCCACCCCCCCACCGCCCCCCACGGGCCTCCCCTTCCTGCAGGCAGACCCTCCCAGCTGCTTCTTCCCCTAGAGCTCCGGGGTGTCGGAGGAGGAGCTGAGCAGAACGATGGAGGGGCTCGGCCTGGAGGAGGGGGACGGCGGAGAGGGCAACCTGTGGCCCATCATGCACAGCATCATGCAGAACCTGCTCTCCAAGGACGTGCTCTACCCCTCCCTCAAGGAGATCACGGAGAAAGTAAGACAAGCCTTGAGTGGATTCAGCCCCCCCCTCCCCCCAGCGACAGCAGGAATCCCACCATCCCCCTTCCCTGCCACCCCATTTAGCAAGGCAGGGGAAGGGGCTGTCCGGTGGCTCTCACCATCATCCCCCACCCCCAGAAAGGCAGGAAATCCAGCAGGTGGGCCATCCATGAGCTCATGGTGGACTTATCCCCCCTCCCCAGTACCCCGAGTGGCTCCAGAGACACCGAGACTCCTTGCCCAAGGAGCAGTATGACAAGTACCAGGAGCAGCACAGCGTCATGGGAAGGATCTGCGAGCAGTTCGAGACTGAGCTGCCCACGGACGGTGATCAGGAGCACAGGGCCCGCTTTGAAACGATCTTGGACCTGATGCAGCAGGTAAGGGGCCGGGTGGGGCCGGTGGGGAGGCCGACGCGTGGGGCTGGGGGCTAACTGTGCCCTTTGCCTTCTAGCTGCAGGACCTGGGACATCCTCCAAAGGAGCTGGCTGGAGAGTCGGTGAGTGTCTGTTCGGCTGCACTGCCCCCTTTTCCTCAGGCTTGGATTCAGAGCCAGGGTCTCACTAAGGGGAAGGAGGTGGGCAGAGGGGGCATTTCCAAGCCCCAATGTGCCTGTTTCTGGAGGACGCTGTTTAGGGCAGCCTGAACCCGCCGGTGTTTCCTACAGCCAGATAAAAGCAACAACACCTCACTCTCTGCAGAGAGGCACTTCTTTGTTGTGAACAGAAGTTCCTCCTCTTCCAGCCTCCTGGCCTGAACTTTGACCTCGAAGGACTGAATCTGCCTGATACTGGAGGCGCTGGAGGCGAGCAGTGCCGGATTATGTGACCTGCTCCCGTGCCAAAGGGACTGAGGAGATGGGAGGGCACTGTGGTGGGTCGAGGTGTTTTGTTTCTTTCCCCCCCGTTTTCTGTCATCACCAGGTGCCAGAGGCTGGCTGCCTTTGCTAAACCCGGCAGGTGGTTTTGCAGGGATCCCACAAGAGGGATGATACCCTGAGGTCAGGTGCCCAGCTTTGCCGCTTGGCTTCTGAAGAGACTAATTGCACTAACTGAAGGCCCCAGGAACGTCTCTTCCTTTCTGTCCCGAGTTGATGGACAGGCTCTCTCTGGATGGGATGAGGTTGCTGTCAATGAAATAACCAGGCCAACAGAGGAGAGGATGGCTCATGAGAGTCGTCTGCGTGAAGGGAAACCTCCTGCATCCACTTCTGAAGGCCCAGCTCTGCTGCTCTTCTCAGGCAGCTCTGGCTGTGACCCCCCCAGTTCAGTGTCTGTAACTGGAGCCGCCCCTTTCCTTGAGCCCCAGCCGGTCAGTCTCTGATGATGCCAGTCTTTGATGATGCCAGGCCAGCTGTCTGGCTCCCCGGACTTGCCCAAAGTCAGTCAGTGTGGGGCTTTTTTTTTTTTTTTTTGCTGTAGCCCCAAATATTAACATTCCCCTGCCCCACATTAGTGCTACTGCTTTGTGAGAAGTGCCTGTATGGGGAGATAGCTAGGCAGCAGGCCGCCTTTGCCACTGGCCACAAGGACGTTTCTGCCAGCGGCTGATGCTGCAGGACGGAGAGCCGTTCTCCTTGGCTGAATCTGGCCGGACTGAATTGAGGTTTGGGAAGGGCAATTCTTGAAATAAAGGTGGAGGTTCATGGTTTGAAGTCGTGATTATTTCTGTTAAATCATTGTGAGCAGAGAAAGTCCCCGGTTTCAAATCTTGAGCCTATGGAGCCCCTAGCAGCTCAACTTGCAGCTGTAAACTGCACAGGTCCTACATAGTGTGGGGGAAAATGGACCATCAGCAGTCTAGTGGTAACTTTTTATTTTTTTTAGGACTAATTGGGGCATCTCCAAGTTTGTAGACACCTTGAACAGGCACACAGTAAAAGGGGTGGGTGGGCAAAGCGACACTTGGTGGTCTATCAGATGCTTCTTGCTCTTCTGTGGCAGGAAGCAGAACAGCTTATTTTGGGGGGTGCAAATCCTAACCAGGGATTTAAAAAAACTCTGAAGGATTTGTAGCTTTTGTGTGAACTGGTTGAGAGCGATTACGGTCTGTCTTAGCCTCTGATCACCCCCCATGCCTTCTAGGTGGGTTCCCTCAGAGCTTCTCCTCCACTTGCCCTGTGGGGGAAGGCCGGCTGGCCAGGCGTGGGCACCTTGGCACAACCCCCCCCCCCCTTCGGCTGCTTTTAGTCAGAGCAGAAGGACTTTGCCCCGCCACAGGCTCTGCCTTGGGAGAGGGCGAGATGGGAAGGCGGCTCCCTCCGGGCAGGGGTCCTGGAAGTGTCCACGCGAGTCCAGGTCAGCGTTTGGCCCTAACCCTGCGGGAGGCCTGCCCGGGACGCCCAGGTCAGGCTGTGAAAGTGCCCGGAAGGAGGAATCGGCCATCATTAAAGTCCAGTGGTGTTTCTCAACCTTGACAACTTTAAGGCATGTGGACTTCAACTCCCAGAATTCCACAGCCAGCATTGCTGGCTGTGGAATTCTGGGAGTTGAAGTCCACATGCCTTAAAATGGTCAAGGTTGAGAAACACTGGACTCCAGTGGTTAAGCACCGCGGTGCTTCCGGACTCCCCCATGTCAGCAACCGGGGGCTCGCTCTCTATGGTTTTTCCCTGCCTGGGTTGCCGCTCTAGCCAGCCGCCTCTAAGGCGCTTCCGGGTTTTTCTACCATTTCCCCTGCCGTAGAGCAGCGGCGGCTGGGGGCCGTCAAGTGCGGCTGTCGCGAAGAGCGGCGGCGGCGGAGCCGGAAGGAGACGCGCGGCGCCGGTTGGGCGACAAAATGGCGGCGGCGCCTGGACGTCCCGGGGGCAGCACCGGCGACGGGGCGGCGGGAGCAGGCGGAGGAGCCCCTGCCAGAGGTACCCGAGGAGGCCGGCGGGCGCCGAGGGCCCGGCGCCGCTTCCCCCACCGGATCCCGGGGCACGGCCGGGCCTGCGTGAGGGCCAGCGGAGCCCCCGCGGGAGGGAGGGAGGCGGCGGGGCTCTCCGCCTCCGTTTGGCCTTCGCTGTCGGGGAGACGGGAAGCCGCGGAAGGGAAGCCGAGCTTTGGGCCCCGGAGCAGGGCGGACGGAGCGTCCGGGGAAATCCGGCTCTCTGAAACGCCGTTTTCTCCCCTCCCCCTCCCCCTTAGTCTGATAGCGCCGGTTCCCGGGTGCTGCCGAGCCCCCCCGTCCGCCCCCCCCGACGGAAGAGGCGGCAGGACAGGTGAGTCTGGGGGGGGGGAAGAGGAGGAGGAGGCTTTCCGAGGGTCTCGACGGAGCTGGGGAGGGGGCGGCTCTTGGGCTCTTCCCCGAGGGGGGCTGCCAGTCTCTCCCCGGGGATTCCCCCCCCCGTCCCGGGTCGAGGCTCCTCCCTGGGCGCCCCCCC